TGGACAGATGGGAAATCACTTGCAAAAATATCCATAGGGATTTTTAAAATGATGTTTTACAGCTTTAAATGTGTTTGAGAGTCCACACTGCAAAATCTCATAGAACAGCTCATGTAAATCAATGTGGTAGGCAAACAGTAACGTGGCTTGTATACATTGCACAAGATTGGGCTATCAAACTGGAGATTGGTAGAGTGAAAAAAGACTCTCATGCTTGAATAAATGGTTTTGTATTTTACGGTGTGATAGTCACGAATTATTTGCTGTGAACTTGCTTTTAACTAAGAAATATTGCCTACCGACTTAGAATTGCACATTTCCTACTCTTAAGCAACTTATTTTCAAAGTGAGATTGATTTCAAATGGATTATCGAGTAATCCTGTTTGTTGCAAACAAGACACCTGTGCAGTGACTGTCTTGTCTCAATTTGCGCGCTACAGATGATTGAAGCAGACTGGATGTAGAGGGTAATTTGTGCTGAGTGCCAACAGCATTGGCTGCAAGCCAGACAATCAGGGCTGCATTAATGTTAACTCCTGCTCAGCTGCTGCGGTAGAAGCCTTGTAAAATTATTCCTTTTGTGTCGCTGATATGTTCACTGTGGTGATACCCAGTGGTTAAAAGGGAAAATATTAATTCCCTTTACCCCTCTGCCCTGAACGTACTGCCTGTTCTTTCAGATAAAAGTAAATAACCAATGAATTTTGAACTGGACCAATTTGCTTTTATTATCTAGTGGAGAGAAACCAACAAATATACGCTCACAACGTAAAATGTGTGCAGGCCCATTATATAAAACTGATGGTTCCAAGTAACTAAGAGTTTATAACCATATCCTTTTATTTTTGATTGTGGATTGAATTGTAAAAAGGATTTTTAAAACCAAAGTATCTAAAATCCAGTTATTGAAGCTCATCATCAACTGTGTTTACACTGCTGCATTGTTCAAGTAGTTTCTACGGGCCAACACTAGAAGGTGAAGTGAGATTCGGCTGGCAACAAGGGGCTGATTTCATTGTGGAGTTGTGACCAATTTGCACAACAAAATCCATCAGCCTGACCATAACTGTTTGGTAAGCTATTGGGTAGCTGAACAGCTTGTGGGTGTGAACAAATACTAACTGAAGCATTCAAACCTCTGGAAAAGGAGGTGGCGTATCTTTCTCTCCAGTAAAATAACTAAAACGTGAAGAAAGTCAGTTTTTTTTTCCCTTCACCTATTGCTATAATCTGAGACTTTTACTCAGTAACTAAGAGACTTTGCAGTTAATGTACCAATTGCCTGTGTCTCTGGGGGAAAGAATGAAAAGAACCTGGAGAAAAGGAATTGAAGGACAGAAATTCCAAACAAAAGGATTATCTCAGCAAACTCAGTGAGCTGGGGCCATCAAACTGCTTCCCCAGTTTTTCCTCCCTCTGTCATAATACCAGTGCTTTTGTGTCTGTCTGTATGTGTGCATGGGAGCATGGGGCTGTTCTTAGTACAGGATGAGAGTTCCATTTTATCAGCAGTTTATAAATGAGGGGCATAGATAAGGTGAATAGCCAAGGTCTTTTCCCCTGGATAGGGGAGTCCAAAACTGGAGGCATGGGTTTAACGTGAGAGGAGACTGAAAGGGACCTGAGGGGCAACATTTTCACAGAGGGTAGTGCGTATTTTGTAATGAGCTGCCAGAGGAAGTGGTAGAGGCAAGCACAGTTACAACATTTAAGAGATATTTGGTCAGGTATGTGGATAGGAAAGGTTTAGAGGAATATTGGCCAAGTGCAGGCAAATGGGACTTTAAGAAACCTGGTCAGCATGGCCGAGTTGGGCTGAAAGGCCTGTTTCTTTGTTACATGACCCTATGTTTAGCTGTGGTTAGAATCCATTTATTTGTAATAAATAGTATTCTGGTGCAGTGCAAAAATCTGATCTGTTTTTTATTTGTTAAATTTAGTTTTAAGAGGTAGGTAAATTGGGGTGTTTTATATATTTTAATAAAACCTTTAACCTTTGTGATGACTGGGAATAGCAGAGTTTGAATTCTGGTGCGCTTACCCCAGTGAGGCGTAACAGTGGTATTAGTTGGTTTCCACATATCATCTCTGCACTATGGTAGATCAGATATTCCAGAACAACAATATCCTAAACGTCAGACTTAAGTGGAGAGTAAGTACGATTGAGACAATAAACAATGGATCAAGATTCGTGTGGAGACTTTTCTCCTCTAGGGATATTCTTCTTTGAATCAACTGATTTTGTTTAATTGAAATCTAATTGAATGAACAAAAGTGCCAAGTTAGCACTAAGATTGAAGAGAATAGAAAAGCAAAATGATGTCATCAAGTAGTAGGTAGGTAATAGCAATATTCTAAGAATCTGTCAATATTAAGATAGAGGGAAAACTAAAAGAGGTAAGAGTTTCAGTCTTGAGGACCGGGCAGATATTTTTGATGGTTTGGTCAGTTGTTTTGAACATAGGAACAAGGAAGTGTGTGAATAGCAGCATACTAAGTACAGTGTCTGATCAAGAAAATTGTATGCTGTATTTTTCCATCGCTCTGGAAAAATAGATAAACAAGTTTTGATATGTTGGAGGCTAAAAATAGAAGGGTTAATAATCAGGCATAATATTTTCCAAGTTATGTTGAAAGTATGACAGGTATGACATGTATGTGCAGTGTACAAATCTTGGTCTGGATCAGTACACCGCACAGTTGAGAATCATTGAATGGAAAGTTGCATTTGGATGAAGGAGCAATGAGTTTCCTTAGCATTGGACGAGACAGTTAATCTCCATTTGAAGTCAAAAAGTAACTTTAAGATTATTAATGAATGACGAGTGAAGATAGTAAATGTAAAAGATGGCAGCCACTGATTAAGCTTGCAACATGGATAAACAATTTATCCTTTAGAGGACTCAGCTATTGGCAAGAATAGGTATTGAAATGTAATAATTCACTCATCGATGCTGGTGGTACCATGAGCAAAAATGATTAACCTTGCCAGTAACGCCTGCCCCCATAAATGAACAGCCTCTGAAAAACACCAGAAAAAGTCCAAAGATGAATAGTCAATGGCTGCAGAAACCTTTTGAAAGGAAGTTGAATGACCAATCACAAAGCTTAGCTACAAAACATTCCAGTGGTAACTTAAATGCAAGATGTTGGATTCAGTCAAAGGCTGTGAAGATGCCAATGGCAAAAAGTGAATCATTAAAATGTTCAAGTTGTTGTTATTCAACGAAATGACCATTCTTAAAAACAACACTTGTAGGAGGGCCAGCTTTTAAGCACAACTTTCAATATGGATAATAAGCAATAAACGCATAGTTAAAATAAGATTGCAGAAGCCACAAAAAAACTGCCAAGGTTGTGAGTGTTGTGGACTGTTGTTCTTGGGTGCAACATCTAATACCTTGAAACTTTGAGAAGAGAAAGATGCAGAAAGGCAAACAGGAAATCAAATATTTGGAGATGAGAAGAAAGCTCAAGAGAATGAAAAAAAAATGTAGGCGAAAGGATCAAGAATGAAAGATATGGTAAAAGAGAACAGTTTTAATTAAAACCAGTTGGTTCCAAGAAGGGTCTAGGCCCGAAACGTCAGCCTTTCTGCTCCTATGATGCTGCTTGGCCTGCTGTGTTCATCCAGCCCTGCACCTTGTTGTCTCTAAGGAAACAAGCTGATACAATTACAATTAAAACATAATTTGAGGCAAGAAGGCATTCCCATCCTGTTTGAGTTCATGGGATCTAAATTGGCAAGTATATATTTTATACTCTGAGATCTATAATTGCACTATGTCATATTGTGCGTATTTCCGGAGTTTTAAAATCCATTCTTGATAGACTGCCTTTGAACCCGTGTAGTTTTCTGCTTGTTGGTTGTCCAATCCTTGCAATTAAGATGATGAGAAGGCTGATTAATAAGTTATAAATTGAGGACAGAGGGTTACAGTGACTGATTTAAAATTTTATTTTGAAGGCACCAAAGGAAATTGCAGCAGAGGCATTGATGGCAGGCCTCTCAAATTTCTGAATTCCATTTGAGTCATCCTGTCTACTGCCCTGTTGTCACCTAAGTAGTTCCATCAAAGCTTTCTGGATAGGTTTGTTTCCACAAGTAGAATCGCCCAAGTTGTGCATTGCTATGCTTATGCTATTTTATTCTAGGGTGGACTTGCCTTTGGGGCACAACTGGACAGGTTTTGGGGGGTGGGGGGGTTGACTGGAACAGTACCAAGTCCTGGGAGACAACTTTACGCACAAGGTCAGGTAAGCACACTCGAGTCATGCATGCAGGTGTACAAAGGCACACAAGGGGGCAGAGCCATGCTCAGGGTTGGGAAAGGTTGTAGTCGTTACCCAAGAGGCCATCAATAGATGGAGATGGGTCACCAGGAAAGGTGGGGGAAGGAGCTAGAAATGACGAAAAACACCAGATGTCCTTCAAAACATGAGAAGGTTCTGCAGATTGGTATTCTGGAAAGATGAAATGAATTGGGTCAAAAATGAACATTTGAATCGATCCGCATTGAAACCATGTCGTCTGTTGCTTCAGTTGTATGTAAATTCCATGTCAGTATGAATTGACATGGGGGTATATAATCAGCGCAAATACAAATACTTTTGTAGGTTGACTGTAATGTAGTGACTTATTAAGAATCATGAAAAGTAATTTCCAGGCAGCTATTCCTTTAACTGTAGTGGGAAGGGTTTAGGGGCATCAGTACAGTGATGGAGACAGATACGTAGATTACATCCTGTTGGTTTGTCTTTGAGAGGCACATTTGATACATCTGTAAGTAAAGAATGTTGTTAGCTTCGAGCTGGATCTTTTTAACATTGGAGACTTTGAGGGGGTCGCTTGGAAATAATTGTTTTCTGTCATGTCCTATTTAAAAAATAGGAACTTTTATTTTAAAACGTAGCCCACAAACTACATTGTCAGGTTTTACATTCAAACAGGTACTGCTTGCTAACGAATTTCAAGTTAGTGTATAACATTGAGAACAACTGGGCTTATAATCTTTATTAAATAAACCACAATATACTTTATAAAATATATATCAAATAGGATCTTTTGTCATTATCAAAGTTTAAAAAAAGGGGTAATTTTACCACCATCTACTGGCAGCAGACTAAGTAACGGAAGTTGAGGTACATGCAACTTTCTGTCTGCAAAGAGAGACCGTAGGCCCATGAAATTCCCATTAAGCACCGCTAATAGTCATACCAGCCAGATGAGTAAAATTACCTCAGTGTGTAAATAAAAAACAAGAGTAATATATTTCCAAACCACACACACACACATGCTCAGCACCATTCTGCGAGGGAGTCACTGCCACCGCCAAGTGGGAACAACAGCAGCGTCATCCTGGTTGTCTCGTCACTCCACCTTCACAGTCTTCCCTGCCTTCCTGATGATCAGGCTGAGCCAGTAAACCTGAGGAGCCAACAGCATGGCGTTACCCAAGGTGCAGTGCAGGGGGATGCGGAAGGGGACAAGGTGGGCAGGGATCCCATACTGCTTGCCGTAGGCCCAGTACATGTAGGGGAACACGAGGATACGGCAGAGGAAGAATGTCGCCAACACGATGACACCGTTGACCTTGTACAGCAATGTGTTCTGCTTTCTGAACTGTGTATACAAGACAAAAACAATGTAGGTTATTTTTCTTTTTGATTCACGTGCCTTGAAATAATGTATTGCAACACTCTTTCTCGTCTTTTGTTGATACAGACCCGTTTGAGTATTTTGGCAAATGAGACAAATGGTGTACTCAGTTCGGCCAAGAACAGACATCCCAGGAAGAAATCTCCGAGGCCTTTTCTATAATACTGCAAATTTTAAGAAAAAAGTTCTGGTGTTAAGTTACAGTTTGATCAAAAGGAAATTAAGTTTTAGCAGGATTAGCCTATGCAGTGGAGTAATAAGCATTTTAATTTTTGTCTTATATGGCATTCTGGATGCTTCCTGGTCATAGAAACATAGAAAATAGGACCAGGAGAAGGCTTTTCAGCCCTTCGAGCCCCCTCTGCCATTTAACATGATCATAACTGATTCTCTATCTTAACATCTTATCTTACTATCTTAACTCACCTAGATATCTTTAGCTTACACTTATTTCTTTTTTTAGATATGTTCAGTGATTTGGTATCCATAGTCTTCTTTGGAGAGTTCCTGAGCTCACCACCCTGTGAGTGAAGACATTTCTCCTGATCTTGGTCTAAAATAGCCTAATGTGTATCCTGAAACCTTGACTCCTTGTTCTGGAACCCCAGCCCCCACC